AAATCTGTAATTAAATTACTATAAAACAGTTTACATTTTTAAAGTAGACGAACACTTAAGAAAACTGGAATATAAAATTAATGAAACTTTTTAACCACAGTCAGTGAAAAGATTTTCTCTCTATTTAGTAAATAACTGTTAAACTTTATAAACTATTTTATGTGAATTAGTTTTTATCATCTGGACCTATACTAATAGTTCTACTTTTTGTTAGCCCTCAGTCAGGATGCAAAATGAGTTAACATCATTTATAGCAAAGGTTTGGAAAGTTTTAGATACAGAGCTTTCAGCAGCAACGCTTGCAGCTTTACTCTCGCTCAGCTCTGCTAGTTAATGTTCTAGTACTAGCCATTTACTAGCAAAAGTTAAATCATGCTATTAAAGTGCCAGCTAGTTTAATAAGAGCAAATTTAGATAGACTTGGGCTATGACTGCTTTCATAATTGCAAATTACACTTTATATTTTTATAACAATATATAAATTATATTGCTATAATATTTTATAAAAATATGATATAAAAATATGATTTTATAAAAATTTTATAAAAATATTATTTATATATTCCTCACAAATAGCAGTGCTTTGATTGTATGCACTAGTTGTGCTTCTGTTCAATTTAAGCTTCATAAGACTTTGTCGTATATTTTCAGACAAAGTAAGAGCTTGTTTGCCAGACTATCAGGGTCTGAGAGGCTTTGAATTCATATTTTACAATTAGAACACAATAACATTATGTAATTTTTTATAGTGAAAGAATGATTTAGTTCATAAATTTGCTAGCATTAACAGCTCATTAATTTTTTACACTGGAAAATTTGTGAACAAACTTGTACATTTACCTGAATTAGAATATACCAAATGTTGGATGCTTTTATATAATGCAATAATATTAATCAAGTGTTAAGTATTTGAAAAATTAGGTACATTTAATTTAGATATTCATAACTTATAAGATCAAATAATGAATGGGATATTTTTACTTTTACTGAGATGCATATGATTAAAAAATAGAATCAAATTTAGACATTTTATAAATACATTGAAAGAGCAAAACACATTATTTGGCTCTCATTTTGATAGTGAAGAATAGTTACTAACTAAATCAAACAGAGTGATTGATTGAAATAATTTAATTGATAAAATATAACTGAGATATTTATTCTGCAATATTTCTTAGTTTACATATAAGGACTATTTTATTCAGCACATAATTATGCAGAAAAACTAATGACTAAAAGTATAAACAACTTCCTAAAAAATTATGATACTTTAAATTGTCTGCACAACCAAAAAAAATCATGAAAAATTATTGATGAAGCAATGTGCTATGTTGCCAAAAAGCATTTATGTGGCAAACCATGTCGTTGTTAAAAAGTATTTATGTGTATTTACATGTAGGTATGCATGCAGAACATGTTCATTTGAGTGCACATGGGTCTGCAATTTTGAAATTCAATAGTAATGTTTCTTATTAATATTTTTTTTCTTTGAGTACATCTGTTTTTGTTGTAGTAAATATTAATGGGAGAGTTTACCAGCTGATGAAAGAGAAAACATTGCTGGGTAGAGTAGATTTTAAGGTACACCTTGTATTATGGCAAAGTTGTTGTTTCATTTATGGTAGCCTGAGTAGTTGAATGTTATGGAAACTCTCTTGTGACGTAATCGGGTGCATGATTCTGAGAAATTTTGAATCAAGAGATGTTTTGTAAGCATTTTTGTGGTGTGTGTTGGTTTGATTCTTTAGACTATAGAATGGACAAATGTAGTAAGATTAATTTGAATTTTCTGTACGATTTGGAGTGAAAGGGGAAAAGAGCTTTAATTGACTGGTGTGTAAATGAAGGTTTACTTTGTAGCCGTTATAAGTGTCCTGTATGTAGGAAGGATATGCGTCTAGCCGAACGTAAAAACCGTTTAGATTGATTTGAATGAGTTTTTAGGAAGAAAGGTTTAGATGGTCACTATGTGAGGCGTTCGATCAGAAAGAGTACTTGGTTTGAAAAAAAGTCATTTGAGTATGATTGATATTTTGATTTTTACATGGCTCTGGGTGTACGAAGCAAACTCGAAATTCATGGTTAGTGAATATTTGCTTTTGGTATTGCTTAAATGTATAACATATATTTCTCTTTTATATTATTTTATTGTTTGGTTTAAAATTTATTTTATTGAGATTATGTATTTTTTGTTTGCCTATATTTTAGAATCTGGTGCTCCTTTGACTACATGGCTAAAGTTAAAAGAGTGTGCAATGCCATTTTTGTGCAATTCGGAGATTTTTTTTAAGTGAAACTAGGTTAACGTGCACATGGATAAAGTCAAAGGAGTGCGCAATGTCCTTTTTGTGCAATTCGGGGATTTTTTTTTCTTTTTAAGTGAAAATAAGTTGACGTGTACATGGGTACCGAGTTTGTGCAATTGTTTGTCTTGTTATTTTGGCTTAGTGTGGCGGCGATGTTTGGCACAAAAATCGCCACTTCGCAAACCAAAATAACAAGTCAAAGAATTGCACAAAATCGGTATCCATGTACCGCCAAAAATCACCAAGTTTCGCCAAGGGGTACCCTAAACTATACTTTTACCAACATTGCTTCGTTTTTGAAAATATGGCATTTGCTGAATAATAGAGAATGCAAACATTCGCATTCTATAAAACTGTATTTCTCAAATAACCAAATTTTAGGGAAATGCAATGTGAAAAATTCCAATTAAAGTGTTAGCATATCAACCAGAAACTGGTTTGAAGATAAGTATAACCTGCTTACAAGAGTTTGCCTTATTTGCTATTGGACAAAGGAATATACTTCAGTGAAATTCTGTGAAGAATTGGGATAATCTTCAAACACAATTATCAATTGGCGAAATTAACTCCAAGAAGTGTGAATTCTCTACTAGAAAATAATAATAATAATAACAAGTAACGCTGGATGTATTGTTGAAATAAACATAATGATACGCAAATAAATGTTCCTCTTCAGAATCATCTATGAGCTCACAACGAGTGGGAGTGCCAATAATCAGAATGTAGCAAAATTATAATCAGTTGGAAAATGAACCCTCACATTTCAATTAAACAAAGACTTTTATGAGCAAAAATTTACAGTTACCTATTTCTATTCAACAATTGCTTTTTCTTGAAAAATAAATTTAAAGAATTTTTCAACACAAATTATTATGGTTAGTTATTACTATGTACATTTGTGTCTTGCAAACAAATAACTGAGATTAGAAAATTTTCAGATGATGTATTAGATAGATTTTAGATAAAGCAGCAGTCAGTCACAAATTGGCATGATATATTTAAAAATAGCAATGAGTGATTTTTCATGTATGTCAATACGTGGCAGAACCTTCCTAGTTCATGATACTCATTTTGTTTACTAAGTACCAGTTGCACATGCGTGGTTCAGTTTATGCGTGGAACTTGACAACTGTACAAGAGAGGAGCAGCATGATATAACCCACTTTTGGGGAAGAGGGTAAAAGGAGTATTTTCTGTTTATAAAAATAAGTATTTGTCATGCAAAGCCAAGTCTAAGTAGGTGGAGAAACTTTTCAAAACCGCTCCAAAGTTTACGATGAAAATTGAGGCAAACTGAACAGAGCACAGGAACTAATTTAAGAAATGTACTATAGACCTTTAACAATAAAAGTGTCAGTAATTGTTTGGTCCATTAAAAAATCAATTTTGGAAGTAGTTGCTCAGCAGACAATAATGATGTGGCTGAAACAGAAAACCAAAGAATTTTATGTTATTGTTTCAGCATTGATAAAATGATGGGATAAAAGTATAAACGACTATGCAGATTCTGTTGACAAATAAAAATTCCCAAGTTAATATCTCATTATGTTACTTTGTAACTGACTTTTTTTGCTTAATTATTCACTTCCCTTCGTAAACATGAGATATACATTCCACAAAATGTCTATCTTAATTTTATTTTTTAATAAACAATTTTAAGGACATAAATTAAAAAAAAAAAGAAAGAAAAAAAAAGAAAGAAAAGAAAGAAAGCTTTCAAATTTTTCATTACGCCCAAAAGTGTTTTTTTTTTTTTTTTAATGTTTTGTGCGTTATCATTATTTATTAAATATGTTTTTTGAACTTTAACCACATAAAATTCAATTCAATAGCAATATCATAAAATATTTAAAAACAGCAAAACAACATATCTTTGGAATTTCCAATACACAGTCTGGCACACTGGAGATAAAAATGTTTTTTTCACAACATAAGCAAACTTGTCATATTTTTTAGTATGCATACAACAACAGCCAACCCACGCAAGTGCGTACCAACATGCTTGAATACATGTGGATTTACTCACTGAATTTAGGGAATTAAAAAATTATGTGAGTAAGCATATAATTTTTCTGAACAATTAATACCAGCTATAGAAATATAAATATTCACCACATAGATATTTTTTGTTCATAAAATTTCTTATTTCTTATAAAATATTTTTTAAATTATCATTTATTTACATAACATTAGGGTATGAGACATAAAAATAACCAATCAAAAGGTATGTCACCAATGAATTGGCTCAGAAGTGTGAATAATAGAAAGTTCCCTAAATATTAACTTTTCTCAAAATGTCAAATTGATTTTGATTATTATTACTATTTTGGCTGGTTCTTTTAATTTTAATTACTTGGTTCTAATTTCAGTTTTGGCTGGACTTTCTAATTTTAATTGTAAGTAATATCCATCAAACATGACTCATAAAATCTCATTATATCTGCTATCTTATCCTAATTAATATCTTAATCCTGATGCTGTAAAACAGGTTCTCCTTTATGATAACTGGGGAAAAGATTTTAAGGTACCTTTAAAATATATATCTGCTTTTATATAATGTGAAATATGTATGCAAGATACCACGTAAAACATACTTCAGTGCATTTTTATATACATAAAACAACAGTGAAATTTCTTCATAAAAAACTACAGCATTAAGAATTAATATTCTTGTTTTTATTATGTCTAATTTACTTTATATTGGCCTTTTCCAGCAGATCAGAAACTGTCACTTCTGGACATATGCCTTTCCCATCAAACCTGGACTCAGGTGAACTATAAATAACAAAAATTTATCTAAATTGTTATAAATATATATTATGAACAATAATTAAAGGGCATATTAAAAAATTCCTGCACACTTACTTTAAATGAACAAAATGTAAAATAAGGAATATACTACATATATTGCTTAAAAAAATACAATAAATGGACAAAACTTCTGAATACCCGGTTGCATTTTATTTATTTTATTTTATTTTATTTTATTTTTTTTTGCATTTTTTATACAAATTAATGTTACAGGAAAAATACTTTTAAAAATAACATTCAAACAAATTTGACCTTAATTTTATACAGATAAGATTTATGACATAAAGCAAGTCTTATTTCGGATTTCAGCTAGAAATGGATTTATAATGACAAGTCCACCCTGCATTCCAAGAGACCACAAATTTTTTTTTTTTTAAATAGTTAACATTTAAGATGAAAGAATTTCAAAAGTTTAGGCAAGATGCCCTATTTTATAAATATGCTCGATTTCTATTTAAAGTTAAATGAAAATTTTTCATAGTGACCTCTGCAGAAAAATTAAAGACTAATAATTACACTTAATTAGAAAATAAAATATACAAAATCCATGGTTCAGTTCTGTTGTTGTTGTTGCTTATGCTCACTTGTCTGATGTAGTCAGCCCAAGCCCACAAAATTTCTCATTGCAAGGAGCACTAGAGTACGCCTGCCATTGGCAACAGCCTTGAGCACCATACAGGTGACAGTGCGATTTTGCTTAGTTCCGCAACCAATTTTGATAGACAGCACCCCGGGAAGACAGGTCCGAGGGTCTCCCACCCCTCTCCCCTTCCATCAAACCACATGAGAGGACTTATTTAAAGTGCTGCCATGCCGCACTGACACTATTACATAACTGCTGTGCCGAAGGGCCCGGGATTTGCACAGCAATTAGTGACGCTAATCACTATACTGGTTGGGCAGCCTGATTTAGTGCTTAAATTTGTCCCAAATCTAGCGGGGAGCAAGCCGGGGTTCTTGCCCTGGGCGGCAACTTTTGTGGGCAGCAAATTCAAATATAACGCTGGATCGTATTTGGTATGTTGTTCGCTAAAACAGCTCTCTAATTTTAGTACAATGCTAATATACTGAAGTGCCACTGAATTAGGGATAGACATGGCTATGCAAATTTTATAGCTCTCCGTGGCATCTGTGCTCACGTGAGGACGTTGTGGTAAATGGACATACAGCTAGTACTATGGTCATTGTTAATCAATTGTTTCAATTACCAGGATGGGTAAAACTTCTGATTTAGACAGCTTCAATCTCGTACAGATAGTAGGCACGCGACACATGGGCCATTCAATTTCCAAATTCCTCAGCGAGCTAGGATTTTCAAGGTCGACAGTGTCAAGAGTATACCGAGAATATAAGGATGGTCGGAAAAAGAACTAGCGATCGGGCAAATTGCAAAGGACAATTAACCTAGAACAAGCATGGATTGAGACGGCTCGGCCGCATTGTACGTAGTCAACGATGCCAAACATTAGCTCAAATTACCACTCCGCTGAATCAGGGCAACAGTCGTGCAGTCAGTAAGAGGATCGTGCAATGCTCGTTTCACCATATAGGCTTTGGAAGCCGTAGACCCGCGAGAGTACCTTTGCGGAATGCATTCCATCAAGCTGCACTTCTTGCCTGGGCAAGAGAATACAGAGAATAGACTCTAGTGGACTTGAAATGAGTAGCAAGGAATCATGAGTCTCGATTCTGACTAATTAATATCGATGGTAGGCTGAGAATATGGCGTCAGACTCATGAAGCCATGAATCCTGTATGGCAGATTGGAACTGTACAAGGCCATGGTGGCTTAATCGTGGTCTGGGATGTTTTCTCTTGGCAGTGTTTGGGATCTTTGGTACTAGAACCAACCTCTCTCAATATGATTCGGTACGTAGAGTTGCTGGGCGATCATCTCCATCCATTTATGTTGTCCTGTCATTCACACGAGAATGGTGTATCCCAGCAAGATAACTGCACCTCTCCTGGGTCCCGGTTGGCTACTGCCTGGTTTTCTTCTGACTTCTCTGTCAAAAATTGGCTATTTAAAAGCCCTGACACAAGTTCTACTGAGCATCTTTCGGATGTTTTGAAGAAAAGTTTTAAACCTCATCACGCAACTCTAGCGACTCTTCCTAAATTATAGACTTGCTCTATCTGAAGTTTGGCAAGCCATTCCCGTAGAATGCTTCCAGGAAACTTATTGAATCTATGCTTCGTCGTTTGGCAGCCATTATAAAGGCCAGAGGAAGGCCCAACCTCGTTATTGACTACCTATATTACTAATTCAGTGGCACTTCAGTGTAGTTTTAAAGCCAAGTTTAAAATCCTCTTTTAAGAAGATTTCCAATTAAATACTAAAAACCCTTTTAAAGGAACATGAGTTAAAATAAAGTACAATTGATTACAAATATAAATATAAGATCAGAAAGAAGCCAATAGAGGGACTCCAGACGTCACTGATAGAATCAGACTGATCTTATCAGTAACGTCTGGAGTCCCTCTATCGTTTCCTGTCTGGGCGGGATATCATTAAAATGAGAAATATAACAACAGCTTGTTGAAGAATTCGCCTCGTTTCCATAGCAACGTCTGCTGGGAAATCAAGAAGTATTGCAACTATTTTCTAACAGCTAATTCAAAAAATTAACCTTGGGCATCCTGGACAAATGAAATAATTCGAATTAATATTTGTTGAGTATATACAAGACATCGTCATTATGTCTTCAAGATGAAGCAAGGCATTTAGATTTTTTTGCTGCCAGTCAGCAACTTAGGCTCATCTTTGGTTTGACTCGGAATAGTGGAGTACATTTTGGATTTTAAAGCTAGATTTATTTTTTTTTATGGTTTTTTTTTAAAGTTTTTAGGTTTCTTCTGTACTCTTTTCTTCGGTTCTTTTTCTTAGATATGCTTGCTTTCAATAGTCAGCAAGCGAGGTGCGACCATTTATTTAGGACTGTTCAGTGTAATTACGTCAACTCTTAGTTATTTTTATTAAGGTAATTCATAGTGAATTTCATTTAGATTAAAAAGAAACCATCTGCGCGCTGAGGGGGAAAAAAAGCAGAATATAGAAAACGAGCCAAAGATAAAGCCAAACAGAGAAAACAAATTTCAGCTAAGATGAAAAAATAACTTTACGGAAGAAGTAAACCGTCAGACCCTGACGCAATTCCGATTATGCTGAGATTCTAGAGGGTATTAATATTTTTTGCAATTTGCACGACCGAACATGACTGCCTATATCATCCCCAAACAATCGACAAGTTAGCATTTGAAAGAACAACCTTCTTCATCGACATCAAACGAATAGCTGGAGGACATGAAACCATGATATAAAGATCTCTTCATTTAGATGGGGGCAGGCAGCAGAAAGACGAAAAACTAAAACTTTTGATTTATTGGACCCATGCAGTTGGCTGGTCATAGAAAAAAATGAACGATCACCAAATCTTTCTGAACGGATCTTTTCTTAAGCAGTCAATCAGTATTATTAAGCCGGTAAACATAAACCAGAAACATAGAAAACGTAAACCTCAGTCTCATTGAATGTGATGGCAGACATCTGACATGTAATACAGAACATTAGTAAATAATGAAAAGCTTAGGAGATCTTGGTTTACATATTCTAAAAACAAGAATGCAATTTTTTGTACACTCTGCAAGATTTATCAGAAATATGGTGCTGCCGCTACACCATACTAGAGGATTCAATAATTGGAAAAAGTTTTATGAAAATTAACTGAGCACGAACTGTCTCGAATCCATAGAGGTGCATCATTAAGTAGAAAATTCGAGTACAAGGAATGAAATCATACCAAGGCATCGACCACTACATTGAGAGACTCATTCACACAGAGAAAGAAAAATGGAGAGAAATTCTATATAATTATGGATGCAGTACTGTATCTTTCAACAAACTGTCATTCTTTTCTTGGGTCTGATGAAATCCCAAGTAGCCTGTTCACAAAGTGTCCTCGACCTAGCGAAGGAAATTTTCTGAATTTAATCTCTCTGCTTGCCAAACATAATTCAACTCTTAAGTACAAGCACCTAACAAGTCAAAGCACCTAACAAAGGGAAAGGAGTCATATTTACCCTATATGTGTCTCATATACAGAAAATTGACCAGGTGACTCAATAGTAAAAACGTTGGTGATTGTGTGAGATAAAGGAAAATTTATTGATTTCATAGAAGTGGTGGAAGATGGGAGAATGCATTTCTGAACGCACTGTAGAAAATTAGTGTCTTAATTGACACTTGATGGTTTAGATATTGGACAATGTCTGGTGTCAGTCTTACGACAACGGGTGTAATATGGCTGGCATTTCTAAAACAGTACAAGCTAGGATTACAGAAATGAATAAGCTAGAGGAATTTGTGCCATGTTTGGCTCACTCCTCGTATCTTGTCGGTGTGCATTCTGCTCTTTCGTGCCCAGAAGCAGTTAATCTGTTTGGAATTACTCAGAAAATACTTCCCTTTTTTGTCAGATGCTCTACTTGATGGTATATTATGAAAAATGTACAAAATACAACTCAAAAGGAAGCAGCCAGACGAGATGGTCGGCAAAATATGTGGCTGTGAAAGTCGTTCTAATAAATTTACCAGAAGTTTAAAATATTTAAAAGAAATTAAAGATATTTCTCTTGATGCAGGAATCAAAGCACGAGGCAGGGCATCTGGTACATGCTGTGAAAAATTTTTAATTTACTATCAAGCTGAAAATTCGAGCTAATATTTTTCCAGAATTCAATCGAGAAAATATTGAAATTCAAAAGGAATTTTTCTTCCGCGTTCTTGTAGTTTGAGGATGACCAAAACTAAGGAATTATAAAAAATGAGAGAAAAATCCTATGGAATATTGGATACAAGAGTCTAAAACAGTAACTGAAAAATTACAGTTGAGTCTATTCTGACAAAGAAAGAATTCCAAAGCACAAAAAGCAATCTGATGAACTGATTGAGGACAAACCACAAGCACTTCCACTTGTTCAGATCGAAGTTTCAGCAAATTAAAAGATATTAAAAAATATCTACGATCATTGGTGAGCCAGGAGCGTTTATTAAGTCTCGTGATTCTGACAACCGAAAATCAAACCGCAGATCAAATTATGAGGATTCAATGCATTTAGTTGCAGGAGAAAAGAGAGTGAAATTTTAATTTTCATTACTAATTCCATGATATTTTAAAAGCATTAAGAACTTAAAATTACTTATGAAATAGGAAGTATGAAAAACAAGACAGGAAACACGAATACTCTCAGTAATAGCCCATATTTTGTATGCAACGGCCCCATTAGTGGCTAAGCAATAAAAGCCGCTGAGCACCAGCAGTTCGGTTAGAGAGTCAAGTATATGTGAATTTGCTGATTGTATGAGCATTTCCGTGATTTTCCCAGTGTGTAACATAGATACGAGCTAGTTTCCCTTACAAATGTTTTTGGCAAAACGCATAGTAAATAATCAGACAAATGCGCTGAATACTGATAGTTCAACCTTGCCTGGGTTCAAACCAGGCAAAAAAGCTGGCTGCATGGCTTGTTTTTGAGCATTTCCTCATGTGTAACGTGAATACGAGCCAGTTTCCTTTAAAAAGTTCCTATATGAAAGGCACCTTCCTCTAAAAGATAAGAGCCTTAAAAAATTTTTCCACAAGGCATTTCTCCCTTTGCATGCAAAGCCTAAAGGCAAAACACATAGTAAATAATAAAACAAATGTCCTCAGCAGTGGCCGAGTGATTACGACTGATGGATACTGGTAGTTCGACCTTGCCTGGGTTCAAACCTAGGAGTACGGGCTAGCTGAATGGTTTGTTTTCGTGGATTTCCTCATGTGCAGTGTGAATATGAGCCAGTTCCTTTTAAAAAAAAGTTCTTACATGAAAGCAGCTCTCGTCTAAGCGGATAGCCATCCTGTTTTTGCCATATTCATATAACCTAACCTAACCTAATTTAACCAGTATGCAATAACATGGAATAGTGAGAAGCTTAGGAGATGCCCGTTCCCCCTGGAGCGGAGAAACTAATGGTAGTGAGGACTGGAGGATTAGTTAGGATTAGGATTGAATCCAAAAGTAAGCTCACCAGAAAGGCGATTCTCCTAGAAGGGGATGATTTTCTAATTATGTAACTTTGGTATGTATTTTTCCTTTATTTAAAAAAAAAAAAAAAAAAGGTACGTAAAGATTTTAGTATAAAATGGAATTTAGGTTTTTTTTTTTACCTCAAACTCTATCTATTTCTGTATTTATTAAACAAATTAAAATTTGTTAGAGAAACTTAAAGGTTGATGGGCGGGGGCAGCAATTTTTAGCTTTTGCCCCATATCAGAAAAATTAAAGATCCGGCACTGGTTTAAAGATATTATTTCTGACTTTGAATAATATTAATCATTCTTGGGAAATGATATCTGAATGATATTAATCATTCTTAGTGAATTTATGGCCTATCTTGTCAGTCTGTTTCCAGATATATCGGCCAAACAAAAAGAGCATTAAGGTTTTGCTTTAAGAAGCATGAAACTTACGTCCACAAAGGTGAAATTTACAAGTCTTTGAGTGATAATCATAGTTGGAAATTTAATCACAATTTCGGCTTTGGATCTGCAAAAATTATCCAGAAAACTTCTTCCACTGGAGAATTAGATTTTCTTGAAACTTTTTGCAAAAATTTAGCATCTTTAGTTAACGGTTTTAATCCAACCCTAGGTAACACTTTTAAATCTCTATTAGCCAAATTTTTCAATTTTCATTATTATTTCTACTAACAGATGGTACTACTGTCTCAACTTCCTTAAGATATAAATATGTTCGTAACTTGGTTTTTCAGTTGTAGATTTCCTTGCTCCTGATGACGGTTTAATCCAACCCTAGGTAACACTTTTAAATCTCTATTAGCCAAATTTTTCAATTTTCATTATTATTTCTACTAACAGATGGTACTACTGTCTCAACTTCCTTAAGATATAAATATGTTCGTAACTTGGTTTTTCAGTTGTAGATTTCCTTGCTCCTGATGAAGACTGACTTTGTTCCTTCTCGAATTCAATAGAGTTTCGATGCTAAAAATCTATGCCTAACACAGGTTGTAACACAGGTTCTCTTTTATGAATTTTGCAAATATCTTTTTATATGCTCAGAGTATGTTTTCCTGAGTTGCTCAGAACTTCCGCACCAAGCGGTATTATTATGAAAAGCTTATATTAACTGTCAATATAAACATATATGTTTTAGCATAATAATCAACAATACTAAACTTTAAATTAAGTAAGTTTGAAGTATAGCTCCAATCATAATAAAATATGAAAGAGTAATTTTAAGATAGATTAATCAAAGAGAGAAGAGCAAAGTGTACAAGAAAATTATTGCTAAATGAAGAAGTTTTAAGGAAAGTGGAAATAAAGGTAAATTTCTTTCCAGTTTTTCAGTTCAATTAAATTCAAGAATAAAATTATGGCAGATAAATAATATTACAATAGATAAGCATTATTACAATAAATAATGAATTAGAATAAATGTAATTTACCACTGATAAATTTATAAAGCAAGTTAAAACGAACAGATTGCTAATGAAAAATAAGACATCTGAAAACTGCAAAATTTAATAAAAATGTAATAACATATTAGAAAAAAAAGAATTTACTGTTGATAAATTCATAAAAGAAGTAAAAATTAGCATACGCACAAAAACAAAAATACTTCTAAAAATTGAAAATTTAATAAAATGCAATGATAAAAATAAACAATCAAAAATTTAATTTAATAAAAAGGAAAAAATTACAAAGAAAATAAATGTCAGGAAAATGCAAAGGGAGTTGTGATTTCTTTTCCCAGTTAAAACAAATTCTGATAAATGGCCAATGCTTCTGGAGCAAGTGATATATAGCAAAATGAAGGACTGATTTAAATGTTGCTATACTGTACACAGATATATATAGATATTACATGAAAACCTAGGGGAAATTAAAAATTTAAAAGATGAAACATTTCTTTTTAATAGCTTTCATTCTTTCTGCATTTATTTTAACAGATAAATAACTTGCAATCATCCAAACAAAGCAAACCAATTGTTTCCTGATGTCATGTGGTCTCTCTCTTATGATTACTACCTGCTCCAATAAAATTCTTGACAGCTGGAGTCCTGTTATAGCTGCATGGCATTCCCTTTTCTACTTATTGTTATCTACTCACTACATTCTTTACACTTAAATGTCACTCGTCCACAATGATGACCTTTAATGAGCTGGAAATATTACACTCTGTGCAATATACATTGAAAAAATTTATTCCCATCAGTCCTATTAGCTAAATAAATGTATATTGTTTAAGAAAGAATATTTGAACTGGGAAAAAAACAGTGATCCTAAATTACAGATTTATTATTACTCTCTTTTCCTTTGCTCAATAAATAGAAATTTGCTTATTAAGGTTGGAAAAATCCATTGTCATTTAGCTGTCTCATCACTAAGAATGTTGTGGAGGGTGCATCTCAAGGTGGCAAAAAATACTATACCTGCAAAAAGAAGGAAAGAAAGATAACACTACAGCCAAGGATTACCCTAAAGTTGAACCCATACCCTTGAAAACAGACTAGCAGTCAGCTTCTGCTAACCACTCAGCCATTCAGGGCAGCAAATTCATTATTTGTTAAAAACATTTCAGAAATTCAACTCACCAGATGTCTTGCACAGCAATATATATTATACAAGCATACCAAGCCTTCCTGGGGATCTAAAAAAATAAAGTTAAATATTACTTTCTGGAAAAGAAGATACTTTTCAATGAACAAACATTTTACAATTTTTAATTACACTTTTTGTTTCACAGTTTTACCAATTAAGAAACACGCCATGCTACTTAAAAAATGAAAAATTAATTCTGTAAATAGTAAAACATTTATCATAAATAAAAATTATTAACATGCAGCGTAATTCTTTTATATTAAATAAAATTAAACAAAGCAGCAACAAATTACACATACAAAGAGGACAATTGTAGACACATTTATATCTAAACTTATGATTTACATGCCTTATTTTCATACTGTGTCAATATGTTAGCGATATCTTGAAGAATGCATCTAGCCAATTCCAGGACAGAGCAAGACAACTGCAGTTCAGTAGCAAAAAAGCTGAATTCATCAATGAGATCCTCCATATTTTCTATGCTAAATAAAACAATGTATAATATAGAAATATCTGAATATTACAGTTGCATAACAAATACCCCAATTTTTAATAAAATAAAGACTGATAAAAAGTGAATAAATTAATGTAATAGTTAAACTAGCATTCCTTAAAAGTCGATTTAGATCATAACAGTTCATTTTATTTATTAGATAAAACTGTCATTTGTATAACACAGTTTCTAACAAATAGATTATTATTACATGCTGCGTAATATTAAAATAAAATAATGGCTAAATACAGTAAATTAATGTGTTTAAATCAATTTAGGAGTTTAAATGTCATATAGAATACATTACCTTAATAATATAAAATAACATTCAAAGTTTGTTTTAAGTTACCTTTGAAAAGTTTGCATAATCTTTTAGAGTAGACTTTAAGGTACCCCTTGTATTATGGCAAAGTTGTTTCCTTTATAGTAGCCTGAGTAGTTGAATGTTAAGGGAACCCTATTTTGATGTAATCGGATGCATCGTTCTGGGAAATTTTGAATCATGGGATGTTTTGTAAGTGCTTTTGTGATGTGTGTTGGTTTTATTGTTTTGACGGTAGAATGGCTGAATGTAGCAAGATTAATTTAAAGTTTCTGTACGATTTGGAACGGAAGGGGAAAAGAGCGTTAACTGACTGGTGTGTAAATGAAGGTTTACTTAGTAGCCATTATAAGTGTCCTGAATGTAAAAAGGATACGAGTCTAATTCAATGTAAAAACCATTTAGATGGATTTGAATGGGTTTATAGGAAGAAAGGTTCAGATGTGGCAATGCCAATATACGGATTCGAGTTTATATAATTTTAGGAAGTTTTTGGATGCTGTTAAGGAATTTTATGTGCCACAGACTAAAGACGAAGGAACTTCTAAATAGGATAAGTGGATATTTGCTTTTTGTAGTGCTTAAATGTATAACAGGTTTTTCCTTCTTTATGTTATTTTATTGTTTGGTTTAAAATGTAGTTTATTGAGATTATGTATTTTTTGTTTGCCTGTATTGCAGAATTGGTTGCTCCTTTGACTTTCTAAGTAAAAATATATCGATGTGTACATGGACAAAGTGAAGGGAGTGCACAATGCAAGTTCATGCAATTCTTGGATTTTTTTAAGTGAAAATAGGTTGATGTGTACATGGATAAAGTCAAGGGAGTGCACGATGCCATTTTTGTACAATCCGGAGATATTTTTTTTAAGTGAAAATAGGTCAATGTGTACATGGATACAGAGTTTGTGCAATTCTTTGTCTTGTTATTTTGGCTTTGTGTAGCGGCGATTTTTGGCACAAAAATATCTGAGTTATGCGTTATGCAAGCTAAAATAATAAGTCAAAGAATTGCACAAACTTGATATCCATGTACCGCTAAAAATCGCCAAGGGGTACCCAAAATATACTTTTACCCTTTTAAGATATTTGTCTACAGTTCTAAAGAAGAAGAATAAATTTATATCTTTCCTACCATTTACCAGCATATTTTTTTTATTATTATTATTCTAAATACATCACTTTCCCCATAAAATTTATTATCAATAATTACATCATGAAATTTTTGTAAGAGTTGATACTGCAAATGTTTAAATGTTTTAGCAGAATGTACTTGAATAATGAAATAATTTATAATATCAGAGATTATACAAAACAGTTTTAAATAAAAAGGAAAGAAGTAAAATGCTGATCCCAGATCATCCAATAATTTATCAAGATATTTAAAAAAATTTTCAGATCACCCACGAACTCAAGATATTTTAAAAAAATTAAAAGCTACAACATCTCTGAATTCTCATCTTTCTGGCCACACTGAAATGAAAATTATAATGGTATATTTAGAGGAAACACAGCTGTAAAAAGATAACTTGACTTAAAAAAAAAAAAAAGATGGTAGTTAACTGTCATTATTAATTCAATATATCACCGCAAAAGACTATAAAAGCACTTGAGGAATTTGTGTTTAAATATTAATTTAAATGTAATGAAAGACCTATATAATAACACAAAATCATTTATTTGTCAAGATTTACAGATATACCAAATTAGAAATTTACAGAACCACAGAAGTCAGAATGTAAATCAAACATTAGAAAAAGACATTTACAAATCCCTCAATAAAATTTATTTCAGCAACTTTAAATAAAAACATTATATTATAAATAAGCATATTATTCTTAAATTGCAACACCGTATTAATGAATTTAATTAAATGAATTTTTAACACGTCTGTAATTATATTAAAATTTTATGTATTTAAAATAATAAATTTAGAATTCTTATTAGCTAGGGAAAAAGTATACAAGTTAATAAGGCATTAATAATTATATTTAAAATGTTGTATGTTAAAAAATAATTAATTTTAGACTGTATATTAGATAGAAAAAAAATACACAATTTTTTTAGAAGTATAGACATTGATTCCTTCACTATATTATTTCAGTTTTTCTATATTTCTTCAATTTACTTCACCTTTAGTACTTCACTGCTTGATGACAAACTTGTATGAATGACAACAGCATTAACATACTAGAAATCCATAGCTAGTTACACAACAATTAAAGAATAATGTATTGTTGAAACATTAGTCACAGATAGGGCAATAAATTTCAAAAACAATTCCCCCCTCCCATTTAGTTTCCTTACTGCTAATTTTTTAATGATTTTCAGTTTGTCACACAGAGTCTCAGTATTTGTTTAATCAAGTATTAATTATGCTTAATGGCATAAAAATTTAAATAATTAATTAAGGCTTTTTCATAAAATTTATTATTTATATTAATTAGTTTTACATTAATTAATACTGACTTAATACATTTCTGTGAAAAAATTATTTTAGGAGCAGAAAGCCGATTTATATTTAAAAAAAAGCATATTCACTGTTTTAAAATATATTTAATTTCTTCAATTTTTTGAAAACCTGATTAAAAATAACGGGAAAATTAATGATATAACTAATTATATTATGCACAAACGAATTCTTCTTCACCAAGAAGGCTGATTTTTAAATTTTAATAGTACTATGTAATGGAAATTATAATCCATGAAATAATGAAAAATATATTAACTATTTCATACAATATTGTATATACATTTAAATCAATAGATCTATCAATATATTTTAAGTTTCATAACCCTGACGCACTTTCTTTCGCTGGTAACATATGCGATAGTAGAAATTAAAACTAGAAATCAGCTTAAATGAATTACTAAAAATTGTCGGAAATAAGCATGACAAACACGACGGAACACTAGCAACAAAATTCGACGAATCACGTCAGCGAAACATAGCCCAGCCTACTGAAAAAGCCCGCGAAACCTATTTCAGGGTTGATTTTAGGAAATTTGTTTTAGAGCTATAAAATGAGCCTTCTAGTTTCGTTCTAAATACAATGATAAAAATAAAAACTGAATGGAAATATTAACATAACATTAATTAAAAAACATAATCCTTTTTTTAATCATTTTATTTTTAATGAAACTAAAAATTAAATTTGTATTAATTTATAATTGGGATGAAAGGTCTAAATTTAATGGAGCACATTAAACCGCAACTGTAAAGAGCATTTTGTAAACAATTGTCTCGGGATGTGATTTTGAACTTGTATAAAACAATACGAAGTTCTTTTTAGTCTTCTCTGGAAACCTAAATTGCCCCCCCCCTTTCTATATACCTTTAAGCTTGATTTTTCGCCCGTCGGTGTAGAAAGACTTAGCGGGTGCAAAACAAGACATCTGTCTATTTTGTCGTCTGTGTGTGTCGGGATGTATAGTATCAGATGTCCAACGAGAATTTCTGTTTTAAAGTTAGGACTTTTTCTTAAATTGATTTACTTTCAAAATATACTTGACTTTTAAGTTTCGAAATATATAAATGACTGTAAAATATCTTAAAACCGTATTTCTTATAGTGGTTTTATTTTTAGGTCGAGCTAATGGAGATTTTGGAATTGTTTAAATACAGAGAGAAGTTAAGATTATGAATTTAAAATAATACAGCATCTCACCTTTTTTGAAAATTATTGTATGCTCATAATCAATACTAAAATGCTTTTTCTTTTTTAAAGATACTTTGTTTAAATCTAATGTTAACGTATATACAGTGAGTCCCAAAATTGAGGGTACACTTAATGCTAACTTAATTTGTAGGCTATTGAGAATAGAAATTATTATGCAAGTTTTCTTAGTTTTGTCTGATTAAAAAAATATACATTTTTCTTCTTAACTACACAAAAAATAAGTTATAAAACTCCGTTTAAAAAAAATATTGTATTACTTAAACGAAAATCTTTAACTTCTGAAAGTCACAAAATTGAGAGTACACTTCTTAAATGACTGTGTAAAACTACCAGTAAAATTTTAAAAATAATTTGTACCTAAGATTTGTACAAAAATACAAACTTTTAGTATCCAAATATTACAAATTTGAGCTTACTACCTTTCTGTGTGACAAATATGGAGAATAGGAAAGAAACGACGATTGAGGAAAGAAAACTGGCCGTTAATCTGTCTAATCAAGGCAAATCTTTGAGAAAAATAGGAGAAATACTTGGAAGAAGTGTAAATTGTATTAGAAGAATCATTCAAAAATTTAGAAAGGATGGTATGCTGGAAAACCAAGCAGAGAGAGGCAGGAAGAAAATTCTCAGTTCAGCAGCAGAGAGGAAAATTGTACACAAGGTAAGGATTGATCCTACAATAAGTGCTCCAAAAATTGCTGCAAGTACTTCGGAAACTGTGGGTAAATCTGTTTCTGCAGAAACAGTGCGCAGAATCCTCAGAAGGGCTGGTTATAATGGCAGAAAAGCTCTCAAAAAGTTCTTCATTAGTAAAATAAATAGAGCTAAGAGATTAAAATTTGCTAAAGAGCACATTCTAAAGCCTAAAGAGTTCTGGAATGAAGTTTTTTCAGCGATGAGAGTAAATTTAATGTTTTTGGCAGTGACGGTTATCGTATGGTGTGGTGCAAGAAAAATTCAGCTTTAGATCCAAGAAACACAATTCCAACTGTGAAGCATGGAGGTGGGTTAGTAATGGTTTGGGACTGTACGGCATCATCGGGAGTTGGAAAGCTACTGTTTATTGATGGAATAATGGATAAAATGGGTTATCTTAATATATTGAAAAATAATTTGAAGGACAGTGCTACTCAATTGGGATTAGGATCAAAATTCACATTTCAACAGGATAATGATCTAAAGCATACAGCAAATACTGTTAAAGAATGGCTACTGTATCACTGCCGAAATCAGCTGAACACACCCCCTCAACCTCCTGATTTGAACGTGATCGAAAATTTGTGGTCCCACCTTGAAAAAGAGGTCCGAAAACATCAGGTCACAAGTAAAGAACATTTGAAGCATGTACTAAAAGTGAAGCGGGAAAACATTTCAGCTGAAATTACAAAAAATCTTGTCGATTCGATGTCCCGGCGGCTGGAAGCTGTCATCAAAGCCAGTGGATATGCTACAAAATAGTAATGTGTTGTCTTTTTATAATTTATGTAATAAAACAATTACATGTACCCTAAATTTTGTGAGCTCAGATTTTTGATGATTTCTGTTGTGCATTTTGTTTCTGTATTTCATGCATTTTTTTATGTCTATTTATGAATAAATGTTAAGATTAGGTATCTTTCTACATCCTCGTCTAAAGGTTTTGGTGACTATCTTTATCTGACAGTTTTTTGTTTTCATTCTAAACATGAATTCTGTTGTAGAATGGAATGTACCTTCAATTTTGGGACTCGCTGTATATACTGAGTACTTACTGATCATTAAATTGCAGTTTCAGTTACTTACAAGACCAGTTGCCCTTTCAACACCTTCCATAATAGCCCTAAACATAGCATAAAAACCATCCAATGTGACCTGAACATTCTTTGCCTCGATCCACATCTGGCCAGGTGGATAAATCCATGGAACACCAATACATCGACTGTTATTTGCATAGCGGCTAAATAGCCGACGTTTACCTTCTCTTTTCCATAAAGCGGGCGACTTTTCCTTATAAAGGTCTCTATAAAAATATGACCTCTGTGCTACAGCAATCGTCTTTTTTTTTTACTGTGAAATTTTAAAGTATTGTACGTTCCCAATCATTAACACCATAAAGGTCTGAGATAGATCAACTGAATGTATTCTAATATGTGCAGAAAGCTGCTCCCATTTAATTCTTTCAGTTATAAAAAAAATTCTGAATATATTTTGATAGTGAATTAAAGTATACTATTTAGCATACAAGATGAATTATGAGACATATATTGTTGGCATTTTGGGATCATTGTGTTATCATTTTGGCCTGGGATTGAATGCTTTTACTGAGGGAGGAGAGAAAAGCATTACTACTTGAGCTAACAGAATATAATGAAATGCTTAAAGGCATTGTTGGCTGATGTTCTGTTGCAGAATGAATGAATGAAGATGATGAAATAATTGATGAGAACTAGATTGGTAATCATTACTTATGATCAAAAGAACTGAGAAAAAAAGAAATCTCAGCAAATCAAACTTTTTTACATAAAATAATGATAGAGTTATTTGAAAGAGCTGGAGAAGCAAACATTTTGTGATATATTATTGATTCATAGTAATGTATTAATGAAAGAATATTATTAACAATTATTGATTGTATAAACATTTATATTAAAACTACTTTTATGGGGCTTCATAAACTGTAGCAAATGGATACATGCTCATTTACACTATGAACAGTTGTCTGATTTAAAAGGAAGCTAGTTATAGTTCTTAGGCACAGGTGTATTAATTGCCATCATCTATCTGCTAGCCATTTACTAATAAGATGTTGCTCAAAATTACACTACATGATTTTCTCAGGAGTATCTTCAAGGTTTTAATATCTTTCCATCACCATCCTAGTACTATAAAAACCACTTGTGATACATGCTTTGAGAAGGCATTTGCGACCTGAGTGTTACTGAATTTTTTAACCAGTTGTAAATTATTCAGCACAATATTTAACAGACAAGGACAAGTGAATTATTTGATTGTGAACTCTACCAAATTTGGCTTCTGTAGCTTATAGGGGAGAATTTACTTATTACTAATATTTAATCTTTTTATTGTCATCATTTCTTTATAAAGATTTTTTCATTTTTTATCTAAAATTCTAATCATTTTATGATTGTAACTTAAATATATATGTGCACTTACACATAGTATGTTTGGAGAAATAAAAGTTAATAAGATTATATTCATACTTCTTTTTTTTTTTAATAAAGTGCTCTTTTGAAAATAATCAGAATTTTCAGAAAATTTTTAGCCAAATTCAAAGTGATTGTGTTTTTGATAAAATGCACAAACTATCATTATTTTAAAACATTTTAGAGATTTCAAATCAATAAAAGTATTTTTAAAATAGTTAGCTCCTATTTTATGGAAGTAGTGATGTAAAGTCCTTAAAGAATATTTATCTTACTTTAATTTCTCATTGTAATTTCCACCCACCAGCGGCCGAGCGGGTAAAGTCGCTGAACACTGGTAGTTCGGTCCGAGGTTCGAATCCCGCAAACGGGCTGGCTGCAAGGGTGTTTTCGTGGTTTTCCCCATGTGTAACATGTATGTGAGCCAGTTTCCCTTAGAAAGTCCTCCACGGAGGCATTCCTCCCCTTAGGCAGATAGCCCTGGTGTGCTTTGCCATAATTAAATACACCACAACACCACCATTGTAATTTCCTGTTATTATGTTATTCCTTAATATTTTACAGTACTTTAACATCCATAACCTATGTATATAATTTCCAAGATTGGTCATATGAAAAATTCAAATTTTATGTATGAATTTATTGTATTCTTTTTTGTGGATGAATAACTATATTTTGTACTTTTATTTTCAGAAAATGCTGTTCTTATGCAACTTGCAGTAAGCATTTGATTTATATATGGCTTATTTTCATTGCATAATTAAGTTCCATTTTATTAAAAGTTTACATGAGTTAAAATATATTTTAAAGTTTTAGATCTGAATTAAGTCTGAATTAATTTTTTTTATTAGTAATCTTTTAAAAGGAAATAATAAAGATATAATTGAAAAACATATTTTCTTTACAAATGTATTTTCTCAGTTGATTGCATTTTCAAATCTTATTCCTAAATATGCACTTTTAGTTGTATATTATTGCAGCAAATAAAGAGTTATGCATAGGTATAATCCATAAGTATAATTGTTATGTTTGTAGTATAATTTTGCTTTTAAAAAGGAAATGAAAGGGCTAAAAAAATTCTAAAAATGTAATTTTCTGATGTTTATTGTATGTGTAGCTAAAGATAAAATTGTTATTTTTTTAATGCTGCATATTTACATATGAATAAAAGTGTAAATCAATTGGCTTTGTTAGAAGCAGTGTCATTTAGTAAACAGTCGGTACAAGTGACTTCCTGCCTCCCACATCCAAGCTCTTATCTATATTCGTAACATCTTTATAAGATAGTAATTTTAATTATTTTAGATAATATAGATTAAAATTCTTTTTTGGTTTTGTATAACATTTAAAAATTTAACAGTGATAAATTTTAAAGCCTGAATAATACAAAATTTAATTTCTGTTTAAAATAATGATAAAAAATTGTGTAATCTTGATTAAAATAAATACAACATATTTTAAATCTTAATTAAATATTTTAAAAAACTGGAAAAAGTACTACAATGAAGTTTTTTTTAAGTAGTTTATTATGTTGGTTTATTTGGATTTTCTGATTTGCTGAATTGGTTTATTTAAAATTATCTTTGTAAATTTTATTGTTCTAAATGGATATATATTTTTTTAAACTTTCTTTTAAATTGAGACATATCTGTTCTTAAAATCTGTTTTATCTTTTAAGGATAAATTCTTTTATTTGAGCTTTGTTATTTTATGTTGATACGTATGCCTGTTCTATTATTTTATTCATTATGCATCAGAAAAAGCTCTTATATTTATTTATTACTTTAAAATTGCATATTAGACACAGTTTTCTGTTGAAAATGCTGCAAAAAAAGTTTTTCTCAGAGAAAGCTGAGGTATATGCAGAGCAGTATTAACCATTATACAAAATAAGCATTAGGTCATCAAGGTAAAGGGGCACCACAAAAATTTCCATATATTTCATGTTAAAAACTCAGTAGGCTTTACCATGGAATGTATAGTGCCACTAAGCTAAAGGAATGGAGAAAAAAACATTGTAAATATATATAGGGCACCAAAATGCCTAAGGCTTTTAAGTCTTAATCCATCCCTGGGCACATGACTGGATTAAAAATCAATTTCTAAATTCCAATAAATTCCAATTGACTTTGCTTAAATCAGCTGAGCATAGATCAGTATGGATACTGTGGGCTTTAAATTATGCTTTGAAGAACCCTGGAGTTTCTTGTGTAGAGACATTAGGTAATTTTTTGGAAGCAGGCAAGATAAAAAAATTAGCAATGCCTTTGCCGGGAATTGAACCATGGACCTCTGGAATACACGGCCAGCATGCAGACCACCACACCACAAAGGCATACCAATCCTGGGTATGGAGAATCATCATCCAACGCCCTTTTAGTTTGGGTGCCACTTATAGGGTCTTTCTCTCTTGTTCCACATAAACTAGATTAGATCCTAAAATGACCTGGTGAATTCTCGCACAGAAAAAGGGTAAAAAAATAACCCTTTATTAAATCAAATAGTTAACAGAAAGGCACAGTCTTCGTTCATTAGAAAGGCACCGTTTTCGTGTGTTACAAAAGCACCGTAAAAATTGCAATGAAAACTAAAATTTGGAATATAATTTAAGTCAAACCTAAAATTAATAGTGCTAGATAGCACTTAAGTTACGCCTAACTGTGGCGTAACTTAAGTGCTATCTAGCACTATTAATTTTGGGGACTCACAAACACCTAACCGGCGTGATGATAATCCGATATGGCCAAGAAACTTACTAGCGTAACAACAACGAAACGTGTGCTTGCCTAGCGAAACACGCTCTGAAAAAACTCAGATATATACCCGTTTAAATATTCACTTAACTTTAAATTTACATCCTGGCGAGAGAATGTGGGGAAATTTAGAAGTTTAGATAAAGGTATCAACGTAAAGTAAATTTGTTATGCAAAATAAAGAAAATCCTACACTTGTAACTCAACTAAATACTCTGCAATTCAAGGTAAATTCAAAAGAATCTTTTAAAACCTCATGGATAATAAAGCTATGTATAAAAAACATTTAATTAAATAACCAGGATTGGTTTTCTTCAGGAAAAACATTGTTTCGTCCAGGATTGTGGAAGAAATTACAAAACCTGCAGAACATGAAAGAAACTGGATGAATTGAAAAAGAATATGCTTGTGAAGGGAAATAATAATAAAAAGATATAAAATTAAATGTTTTATTATTTCTACAATAAAATGCAAAGTAATTAAATCACTTGTTTTCCCCCAAAAAATCCAGTGAAAATTGGAATAAAACTTATTTTTTTATTGATGTGATCTTTCATTGAATTTTTTCCTTACAAACATACCATTTTTCCTTTCAAACTACTAAAAAAAAATAACAGTTACAATTTAAAACTCATAAACTAATATTTTATTTAATTTTAAAATTTAAATAATAGCTTTTAGGAATATTTGAATTTTTTAATGGTAGGTCTTAGCAAAAGACACTCCACCTGATGTGAAAGGATATTTCTTTGCAAGTGCAAAACAATACATTTTACCAGGACTGTCCAACTGGTGGCCCTGGTACGTCCCGCCAAATTATTTTTACGGCTCGCAAGTACATTTTACTATGAATAAATTTGTTACTAAATTATTATTATTAATATTAAAATTATTTTACTATGGGAAAATTTAAATCTAATTTGAATTTAAAGTAGGTACTATTTAGTTTGCATGACTTCACTTAACCTGGCTGAATATAGCAGCTATCCGTTTAACGTCTGATGATGGTTGGCTCAACGTTGGCGCCACATATTATATTTGTGGTTGGTTGTTGTTTATCTATGGTTGGTGCATGTGATGCGTACACTACCATGCACTATTTGGTTGGTTTATGCAATCCTGCGAGTACAGTCTTATCTAGAATTTGTTGAGGGGTGACTGTGTTATAATATTATTAACTTAATTTCATATTTATTTATTAATTAAAAAATTATTGAATATGACTGCTACTAATAAAAAAAATAGACCTCGAAAACCAAGAATTTCAATTTACGGAATAAAGAGCAATTATGATATAAAAGGTATCAAAGTTTACAAAAAAAAAAAAAAAAAAAAGCTTAATATTTATTTGTTTACTTTATTTAACATTTCTTTCAATGTAAGTTGTTTAAGTTGCTTTGTTTTATGTGCTAATACTTTCTCTTTAATTCTCTAAACAGACATAATTTCTTGTTCAGTTACAAAGTTCCGCTGTTCAAGTCCTGTAATTGCTGTGTCGAGAAAACCGATTAATTTGTCAGTCGAAATGTTTTCGTTTTCAATAACATCTCTGTCACTTTCTTCACTATTGGAAGCAATATTTTCAGAATCTAGAACCATACTACAGATTTCGCTGTCCGTTAATTGATTGATGATTGGGGCATTGTCGTCGCAATGAAAAACTTCCATTATATCATCTTCATTCATTAACGCTTCTCCACATTTCTTTACAAAATCCAATAACTGGAAAATTTCACCTTTAGTTTGTGATGTCCGAAAACCTTGAAATTCGCGGCTAATCATCTTCATCCTCACCATGAAATATGGTAGCTGGCCATAAATTATGCCAAGCATTTTTTAACGTATCTGGAGACACATCCTCTCACGATCTTGCGATGCTCCACACAGCATATTTTATGCTAAAAAATTTCAAAAAGTCTTGAATAGTCTTGCCATTAATCAAGAAATTTAACATAGATTTTTAAAATGCTACTTTATATTTTCATTTCAGTGCGTGCACTATTCCCATACCTATAGGCTGAATGATAGACGTACAATTTGGAGGGAAGAATAATATGGATACATTCTCTTTCACTAAAACTTTAAGTGAAGTATATGCTGAACAGTTGTCAACAATCAGGAGTATTTTTGAGTCATCGGGTAAACCAACCGAATTCAAATGTCGCCAAGCTTTGGGTATAAAATGATTTTCAAACCAATCATTCATCAATGCTTGTGTCATCCATGCTGTTTTATTTGCGTGATATATAACGGGGAAAATCATTATTCCTTTAAATGCTCGAGGTCATGCATGTTTTCCAATTACGAAAAGTTTGCACTTGTGCATTCCTGCAGCATTTGCGCACACTAAAATTGTTAGTCTTGCTTTGGAATGTTTGAGACCAGTTGGAGCCTTTTCTGTAGAGGTTGCCAAGGTATTTTGTGGTATATATTGCCAGAAAAGAGCAGTTTCATCAGCGTTGTAAATTTGTTCTGGAGATAATTGTTCACTAGTAATGAGTTCAATGAATTCATCTGCAAATTGTTCAGCAGCTTCAGTATCAGCTGAAGCTTTTTCACCTGAAATTTTTAATTCTCTTATACCATGGCGATTTTTAAATTTAGTTAACCAAACCGTTGAATATGTGCACTCAGTGTTTATGTTCATTTCTTCATGAAATATTTTGGCTTTAACCATTAGCATTGGACCCGTCAATGGCATGCCCTCGCTGCGACGCTGTCGGACCCATTCAATCATCACTTTGTCATGATCGTTACTTTTAGCATAACGAACCCTTTTTCTGTTATTCATTGCAAGTGGGGTGTCGGAATCCACAAAAAATTCAAAAAGTTCCTTTTTCTTTTTGCTTATGTCATATATAGTTGACTTTCTAATGTCATACTCTTGGCATAATTTTGAGACGGATATGTCTTTATCCATATTTTGCAGCAATTCCACTTTTTGTTTGATGGACATTGAAACATGC